GTATGTACCCAGTTTGCCCGAAAATAAGACCTACCCCGAAAATAAGACCTAGTTATGACCATTCCCAGGGCCGGTGGTGGCATAAGGGGGAATTTGAAGAGCCGTGGGAGAGAATCAGCGGTGCCAACGAAGCCGGCGCTAGAGGAAGCGAGGCGGCAGAGGGAGCAGAGCAGCATAAGCCGATGCCTCCTCTATAGCGCCGTCTGTCACAGGCGGAGTGATACCAAATGCACTCCGCCTGTGAGGAATCAATAGTGAAAGCGCATTCTGGCCAGCTATTGGTTACCAATTTGCTCTTGGAAAGGTACGACACCCCTGATCACCCTATTCTTAACTGACACTCACTGCTGTCCTGTAAATCTACCGGTAATAAGTGTTGATTGTTGTACATAAAAAAAAAAAAAAAGACCTACCCCGAAAATAAGACCTAATGCGTTTTTTTTAACCAAAAAAAATATAAGACAGTGTCTTATTTTCGGGGAAACACGGTATATATGAATTACCCTTCAGGCACAACCACTGTCAATGCAATCAAAGGATAAAGGCCGCCATTTCTGTAAACAGCTATAAGGTTCAGTCTGTCAGTCTCTATAGTGACTTCCTGCTTGATGTCATCCAAAAAAAAAGAAGAGGGATCTTTATAAATGGACACAGAACAGCGGAAGGATCACAAGAGGTTGCGATGTAAGGGGAATTAACCCTAGGTGGGCTGAGGGGGATGGGCCTGACAGAGCGGCATTAGTGGTGAACAAAAAACCTCCATACACACCTCTGTGCTGACCACCACGTGGATCCCGGTGGGTCCCTGCTTATAGATCTGGTTGATCTGTTGGGGGGAGATGCTGTACAGGTTGGCAATCTTCTCAATTAGCTCAAAAGATGTCAGTTCTTCCAGGAAGATGGCGTGGTAAACTGCAAGAAAGGCAAAAACAAATATGGAGTTATCCAGTGCAAGCTTTTATACGGTTAAACATCTAAGGGGATAAATAAATGCAGCTTAGTAGCGTGCCTTCCCCATCACCAATTCATATTTCAATCACAAACTTCACAGCTGAAATATGCAAGTGTGACGATCTACTTTCCAAACATTAGCAATTTTATTTAGCTAGTCTTCCAATCCAGACATCCCTGCCAAAGCAAAGTAAGTTCTGGACTTCATCTTTCTCTGCTGCTGTTAAAGCAAAGCGTGGTCAAAGACCACCCCAACATGAATAGTAGATGGGGGGACCATCTGCTCTCTACCAGATTTACTGTGTTCTGCACAATGCAGAACAGCTCAGTCTGCTGCTGCTCCTTAACCGTCCCTTCAGGCAGAGGGCATGGAGATGACCTAGCTGTATTGTTGTAACTGCAGTAGAGAAAAAGTTAGGGCATCAAGTTTCCTGGTTGTGTAAATCTCAGGACTGGCTGCACAGAAATAAAAATCCATGGCGGGTAAATCGAACAGCCTCCCTATACCGTATTTTTTCATGTATAAGACGCTACTTTTTCATAAAAATCTTTATCTAAAAATAGAGGTGCGTCTTATACACGGGGGGCGCGGTTTTGAAAGTGCTGATACCACTGCAAACTAGCCTCACGGATTGCAGAGACAAGATAACAGTTCTCCTCCAGTCATAAATCTTTTGAACCTGACGTGAGCTGTTGCTGGGGAGATCGTGTAGGCAGTGCCCAGAGCGGTAACGTCGGAGCATTCTGTGACCATAAAAATGTCAGAAAGTGAAAAACAACCTGTAAACTCTCTAAACTCATGGTATGGTGTCAAACAAGGAGGTGATTGTGAAGTCCTTCAAGAAATGTGGAACCAGCAAAGCCATGGACGGAACTGAGGATGATCTTGTATATATAGACAGTGACTCAGCAGACAGCAGTGATGCAGCAGAAGTTGAAGAAACTGATATGTTTGAAGCTAAAAGTGATGACGAAACCAGTGATGCAACAGAGGCTGAATAAAGTGATTGGCTCAGAGGTAAGTGTGATGCATAATATCATTTAAAATATTGATTTCTGAATTTTGGGTAAGAAAAGTTGGGGGCGTCTTATAGACGGAAAAATACGGTATGCATTTTCACTATGTGGCCATTTGCCTGGAGTTCAGTTTTCAGTGTTAAATTGCCCCCTTTATCCGTTTGTAGGAACATGCAGTGAAGCAATGATTTATAGCTCTGGGATCAGTGATCTGTCATTTGGGGGGGCTAGGGTCCCTGGTTCGAATCCCGGGTCAGGACACTATCTGCAAGGAGTCTGCATGTTCTCCCTGTGCTTGTGTGGGTGTTTCCTCTAGGTCAGTGTTTCTCAACCTGTGTAACCTCAAGACCCACATTTGTCCTTAGTCATTAAGTTGCGACCCAAGTCGCACGGCACTAGGGTACCACACGTTCTGGTGTGGATGTACGAACTGCGGGTGGGAGGTGCTTTTGGGGTTCCATTAAAATGAAATGGCAACAGCCTGGATCCTCACCCTGGGGTCCAGTGTGGGTTGCTGTGCTGTGACTGAGCTCCATCAATATGCATTGCTTGTACAACACCCTTGTGCGCCCTGTAGAGGTGCCGGGAGCCAGAATGTGATGTCACTCCATTCCAGGCACCTCTACAGGACATGTGAGGAAGCTATAAGCAACGCATGTATGGATGGAGCTCCCTCACAGCCATACCCCTAGCCCACCCCAACTCAAGCTGAAAATCAGCCCTGGGCAGCATATTTTAAATGGCTGCTTGTGGCGAGAACTGACAGTGCTGCGCTAGGAGGAGGCCGAGGAACCTCTCGCCTAGAAATGTGTAAGGCATCTGGCGACCCACTGAACATGGGGTCGCGACCCACTTTTGGGTCACGACCCACCAGTAGAGAACCAAGGCTCTAGTTACTGGTCAGGGCTTTAGAAAGGTTGTGCCTCATTACTGTGCCCAGGGACCACTGCAGAAGGCAGCAAAGGATAATGTGCCACTGACAAATTTATAGGCAGCACTAGAAGGTATTTTAATGCATTCAACCTGGCTGAAGTTCTTACAAAATGCATACAAGGGTCACATATGATACACAGGAATTTCAACAAGTAAAACCCCCTCTACCAAGGAATGCAAGACATTCTTCAGAGACAAAATAAAGCTTCTGCAGGGAGAGTTGCTGGCAGGGCAGGTTTAGCACGTCCCCCATAAAACACATCTGATGACGGGGCAGAAACATGTATAACCTGGAGAGAACAGGAATGGAAGTTTTTTTTTTTTTTTTAAGTTGCATTGCAGCCAAGCATTTAGCCCGGAAATAAATCTGGGGGTCTAGGCTACTCCTCCCTGGCTGTTTCTAATCTCGTTGATGCCTGTGTACACCAGACCACCAAAACCTTTGGCTGCTGTAACAGTGTTCCAGGATAAACTTATTCCCAGCTCTGCCCATGTGAGTTTGACCTGCAATCCGATTACATAAATCCAATATCCTTCAGAAATAAAAGGTATTAGTTACACTGAGTAGTACTTCCTGTCTTTTAGAGAGGTTCCACAAGTGTTGCAAGTAAAACATCCTGTACATTGAACGTCCCTTTAAAACTTAGCTAGTTCTATAGAGCAGACAATCCACTGGTACACCAAGTGAATCTCTTCATACAGTCAGCAAAAATTCAGAACGTACAGAGCAGCATGTAAAAAACTCTGTACTTTTAAAAGAGAGAATGACCCGGTCACCCCCCCC